TTTTGATTAAACTGCGAATATGTTCAAGAGAAATTTGGTACAAGTGATCGTTGGGAAGAGTTAGTGATTTGCGTCTATATAAAGATTATATTAAAATTTCTTACAAGGTAAATAGTCATAGCCAAGAAATGACACTAGAGAATAATGATGATTATGCTGCTTTTATAGTTAAATAAAACAAATTAAACAATACAACCAAGAATATGGTTCTGTATATTATGCTCAAATTATCTGATGATGATAAAAAAAAAAAAAAAACAAAAAATAAGATATAACAAAAAGAATATATAATTGTGTTTAAAGCTTTCTATAAGTTTGTATTTTTAAAATAACGTCTCAAGATATTAGTATTTTAAGTTATACTTTTAATAATTATAGGATTTAATTGAAATTGAAGATTCTGACAAAGAAAGAGTAACCAAAAAACCAAAAACCAAAAAAGATGATTGCTTATCAAGAGAATCGAGACTTTCTTATGATGAAGTCAAATTGGCTAGTATTATCTCTCAGCTTTGTTTCAAGCACCAATATAGTATGCATAGCACTTCATGCTATATAGAGAATAATCTGCATCTCCCTCTTACATCTTCATGTCTTCATCTATGGTCTAGAGATATAGTTAGTATAATCTTATTTTCAGATATATTTTAATGAATACATATTGATATATGTAATTTGATTTTACTTACATACGTAGAAGGCCAAAATTACCGATATGGAAATACCACCCACATATTCAACTTTTGGGTTGACAATGCACTTAAACCCAATACATAAATATCACAACCACAATTACAGTCTACTAGGACCCCGAGCAATCTATGTACAGCTAAGATTTTTAAAAAATCTTAACAAATTACAAAAAAGTAAAAGATCTGTGTAAAAATAGTTAAAAATAAGCATATATATTACTAAAAATAGTAAAGATCTGCAAAAAATAGTCAAAAATAAGCAAAAATAAATTCTAACCTATCTATGTATAGCTCGGGGTCCTAGTCTACTACTACAGATATATCTAATTTAATTTCAGCTCTTCATGAATATCTTGAACTTCTTACAAATGCTTTGAATAGTTCAACTGAGAGTTAATAATAGATTTTGTAGTATTATTTGTGATCTGTATGTATTTATATAGTCAAATAAGTGAAAAAAATATTAATTTGATAAAATACTGTATAATGAATTTACTGTAAAAGATCATATAAGAGATTCCATATATTAGATCCCCTATGAATTAGACCTGTGTATGAATCACAGGATCTCTATTAATAAATGCAGATATTTTTAAAAACTTAGACTGCTTATTATAAATGCAAAGTATACTTTAGAATTATCTTTGCTACAATATAAATGCTCAGCTATGTACTAGACCCAGATCTACTATAGGTTTTAAAATTGGTGTAATGTAATGGGCCTGGGTATATATAGTATTAGATATCATAGAATAAATTTGATTATACTGTACATTAAAGAGCAAATTTAAATTAAAAAATATGAATCTAAATAATACATATTATTTAAACTAGATATATAAGTTTCTAATTATCATGTGATTTATGACATAACAATTTTTTAAATAGTGAAAAATTAAAAATCAAATATATTTTATATCACATAATCTTATAAATAATATTTTAAAAAATTGATCTAAAATTGATCCAAATTATTTGTCACGCATAGTATTATATGCAGCGCTATACAGGTAGTATATATAAAGTTTATTCAACATAACCTGATTCCTTAAAAAAACCTGTTACCATTTCAGAAGTTATTTGAGCACATACAACCATTAGTGCATGAAATAGGTCTGTTGTGTTTTCTACAAAATTTCTATTTATTTGTATTTAGTCTTTAATGGTACCAAAGGCCATCTCAATAGGGTTAAAGTCCAGCGAATACAGAGGTAAAAAGATTATATGACAGCCAAGTCCCTCTATCATATTAATGAGAAATTCATTATGATGAATTTTCATATTATCGAGAATAATAATGCTGTTTTTTCCAAGAAAAGGATTCTATATCTTGGCGAGTAAAAGATTTTTTATGACCAGGTTGATCTTTATAGGGATTTCTAACATATCCCCATTTTTCAAATATACATAATATTCTATATATAGTAGCCCTACTAATAAAAAAAACTGTAGTAATATTTTTTTTACTATACCCATATGCATTTAGATAAATGACTCTCTATTAAAGATCTTTGCTGAGTTCCCACAGCATAACTGGTTTTAGGTGAATTGTCATAAATTTGAAAATTTAAGATATATACACATTGGCAAAGTTGTAGAAGATTTTATCTTTATATTACTAACTAATAGTAACTAAACAATTAAACGCTTTTAAATTTTCATAGGCTAAAAAAAAGATTTTTCATATATTCAGGTATGACACTATATGGGTTTAACTTTTTTTAAAAAAACTTATAAATTGATTTTATTTAATATACACAAGGCTGACAATTTGGCTATTTATTAAAAAAAAATACAAATGGGTATTTAATGAATTAGTATTTATTAGCAGTATTGACAAATGTTTGTTTGTTAGTATATCTTACCTTCTTCAACTATTCTCTCTCTTCTTCTCACTCATACTCTCTTAATACTACACTATTATATTATCACATCCTTTTGTTATATTATTTATTGCATCATATTATAAATAATGTAATACAAGGATGTGACAATTACCAATAAACAAGCCGTTTACCAACACTGTTCGTTCCAACTCTAAATATAAAATATTGTTATCTATTTTTATACTAATTTTTTTTTTATACTAATATAATTATCTCTTAAACTGTAAACTTTGTGCAAACAATTTGTCTGCAAAACAGTTTAAAGAATTTCTTAAAATGTTAAAGCTTTATAATAGAACAATGAAAAAATATATATATAATTCCTTTGGGCATGATTATTTTATCTATTTTTAAAACCCATTCTCAAAGATCAAGAAAATTATTTTAAGGCTTCATGTGAGTATATATATATATATACTGTATTATATAGTGTTAGTAATGGGGTTAGAAATTTAGGCTGCTTAATTGTCGCATGTTGCATTATGTTAAAACAAAAATTATAGATTTACTTTTTATATTATGATATGTGTGACAATTAAGCAGCCTGAATTTCTAACCCCGGTAAGTCCTATCACTACATGGAGTCTTTGCCTTGAAAATAATTTTCCAAGACTAGATAGATTTTATGAGTAAAGGTTAAATAGTCTAATTTAAATAACCTTTTTTTTTTTTTTTTTTTTTTGGGGTTATTAAGCTTTTCAAAATTTATATTAAAAAAAATTATTTGTTTG